CCTAACTAAATCCTCACTCACTCTAGGCCCAGGTGAGCCTCCCCCGGGGCCCGAAGGGGGCCCAGCAGGGAGGTGGCAGTTCTGGTCCTTACTGAGGAAGACAGAGGCAAAGAAGTTATTAAATATGTTGGCTTTGTCGTCTGGCGTGACAACCAGATTCCCCGTCTTGTCCTGAAGGGCCCCTTGTGATATGAAATTCATATCAGAGAGAAGCAGTCTCCCCTCCTCTCCCTCAGAAGAACGCACCGAGTTTCCAAACAGCGCACGGCGCCGAGCCCTGTATCGCCCACAGCAGTTGGCCTGACTGCGCTGCTGCTTAACAGCATCCGCAGGGAGCCGCGCTCGCCTCGGCTGAGTGGTTTGCTGGAGCACAGAACAACGATACTGCGGAAATATGGAGTGGGGCGCATACTGCATATTGTTTTGCACTGGAGACAACCTGACACGGGACGTTTGAATGATCAGAAGTCTAGGAAATGTGTCTAATGAGGAAATACTGGAAGAAGAATAGGTTTTGATACCGGTCTTCAAGCCTCTGAAGGGGGTGGTTGTAGATGAGCCCCTGGGGCTGCAGGGGACAGGACAAGGGGAAATGGTCTTACATTGCGGCATAAGAAACGTAGGTTGAATATCAGGAAGAAGTTTCGCACTCTGAGGGTGGTTTGGCATTGGAGCGGGCTAACCAGGAAGGGTGAGGATTCACCATCTCTGGGCATTTTCAAGAGCAGGTTAGACACACGCTTGGCTGGGCTGGGCTGGACTGGATGCAGTCTACCGGCCTCTCCTTCCTATGGCTCCATGATTTCCTGTAGTGGGGAAATGGGTTCCTCTGAACACCTCGTCCCAGGTGTGATGTGCTCTGTAGTCTGGATTTTCCACTGCTACTTTTCAGCTTTCTGACTAGCACTGTAAGAGACCTAGATTGAAACTGTTTTTTTGAAGGTCGTACTATTCTACTGAGTCACTTCTACCGTGACGCCCCCGCCCTACCACCTCCATGCCACATCTCTGCCCTTCCCTGCTGCTTCTCAGGTTGTCGCTCAGCTGCCGCAGCTGCTCCTTCCCTGCAGGACCTCCCGGCAAGGCAGAGTGGTTCAATGGGCAGCGCTGAGGCCGGCTTCCTCTGCGCCTCCCTTAACGAACTGCCTGTGGCTCGCTCCTCAGGTGCCAGCTCCTTCAGCCCTACCCCGTGCTGCAAGCCCGGCACATGCTGCTTGGGACTTTTGTGCATGCTCGTGCAGCTGTCCGGGAAACCCCCTCCCTCGCTCTTCCACTCAGAGTTTCCAGTGATGCTTTCTAGGCAGCAGTGGCTTGTGATGACTCGCTGCTAATACCCGCAAAGACATCGTAGCTGGATGTCAGCGCTGTGACAGTCTGCAGCGGAGAGTCACCGTCCTTGCGGTGGCTCCCACAGATGGGCCAACGAGTCCTCAGGCCGAGAGGGGCGGGATGCTCTTTTCTGCAGGGCAGGGGCAGGGGGTCCCTCTTTCACCCTGCGCATCTGAAGGCTGCTCGGCCTAGGCCGGAGCCCAGGTCAGGAAGCCGCCTCGGTACTGGCCTGCTTGTCTGCGGGCCCCTGTCAGAGCGGTCCCCTCTCGCTCTGCCGTGGCCGGGTCTGATCCCCTGGGGTTCGTGTGGGAGCCTGCCCGGCTGTCTGCGCTTCAGAGGCGATATACAGTGTCTGTCCTCAAGGCTGCCAGCTGGTACCTTCCACCAGCACTAATTTCATTAAAAGACCAGGAAAGCTGAAAGCGCGAGCCCAGCAGGGGAAGGGACCTCGCGCACGTCTCACAGTGCAGAAGCATGAAATGATCGTTGTTGCAGGTGCCTGGGTTTGTTACCGTCCCCGACCTTGGTTCTTCGCTGCTGATGACAAATGATGGTCTCTTTCCCAGTGAAGGAGCAAGAGGACAAGGAGATAGCTCTGCTCACTTTGAAGATCCCATATGTCTTTGCCGGCTGCCTCTTCCCGCTCCTGTGGACAGGAGATGGATGATATTGATTAATAATATGTACGGAATTAATTGTCACACCAGAGTGATTTTCCACAGATAAGCAAGTTCCTCCTGCTTGAGAGTGACAGAGCCATGCATTTCAATTGTATCTCGCAGTCGAGTGTAATTGTAAAGTGAAAGTGTAATGACGGAGATGTCTTTATCAACCTGTTCCCTGCATTGTGTTTTTATCACTGCCATCTGCTCTGCTGAGAGTGGCAGCTGCCAGGTCTCACAAATAGCTCTGTCATGTACTTTCATGTAGAACAACATATTGTCATAATTTCTCTCATATTACTAGATGGAATAACTTTAACAGGGATAAGGTGACATTAGCTTGGCGCTTGGAGTGCATTTGGTTGCTGTGCGCGGAGGACACAGGACGCTCCCTCCCCGCAGATGGAGCCTCCTGTCCCCACCTCTCCAGTCCCACTCCCCGGCATCACGTGAAACCCACTTTGCCAAAACATTTCTCTAACATCAGGCAGGAGGCATCTTCCCTCTACACAGCCTTTTTGTTGCTGCTGTTTTGCTGTGTTGTTTTTAGGTGAGCAAGTCGTGTGGATTGCTGATGTTTTAATGTTGCTTGCATAAGTGAGACCTCAAGTGCCTTTGTTGGGCGAGAAAACTAAAAATTATTATTACCGTTTAGCTGACTAGCTGTCTCTTGCTTTGTTTATTTCAGTACAAATTCGCTCGGTGATTTCTTGGTATTTGCAAACATGTTGATGCAGCTTCTTCAAAAGAAGCAAGAAATCTTTGCAGCAGTATTTACTGCCTCTCAGTTTCCGGAGCCTTGCGGAGAATATCTGTCACTGAGCTGTTTACCAGATGGCAGATCAGGTGATTTATGACACTTTATTTATTGGATTTTGTGATCTGTAGGTGGCCAGGCAATAGGTGCCCTGTCTATTAACCTACCACTGAAGACCTCTTTGCTGTGTTCAGTAATCACTTGGAGCCAAGGAGCCTGACAGAGGTCTGCTTTAGCAGGAGCCTGGGTCGTAAGGGATGAGACTGTGTAATGCAATGCTTTGCACATGCACCAACTGCCAGGGCCTCTTGAAGGTGCAGTTCCCCACAGCTTTCGTTCCTGGTCATACACAGCAAGAGCTATCATTGTACTACATAATCTCCGGTGCATAAAGTGACTTATTAACTCCCAGCATTCACGCAGCTGCAGAGGTGCCCTGTGCTGTTGCACGGACCCGTGGGTCTGCCCTGAGACATCAGCGTCACTCTTGGGGGGCAGCAGGAAGCCTGCTGGGCTTGGCTGTGCCGTGGAGCTCATCTGTCGTGCCCGGCTGTGTTTTTCCCTGGCTGAGGCTTTCTCAGAGGAGACAGGTGATCATCCGAGCAGGTCTTACCCTAAGTACCTGGCACAGCACTGGCAGAGCCCTTGCCTCCCCTGCTCTTTAACTGTACTTTGTAGCTGGGTGCACCCCCGCTGTTGTGTGTGTGAAGGGTCTGAATGGACGAGCTTCTGGGTCCCTTGGATGAATGGGCTGCCGAGGCCAGGGTGGCTCTCCCCAGTGCTGTCCCCATGTTCCCTGCGGTCCCAATGTTGTCTGTGGAGGCCCTGCAGCACCAGCGCCGTGGGTGGGAGCCTGGGGCAGTATTTACGTGACGCTCCAGGAGGTGCCTGCTTCCCATTTCACAAGTGGATTTACATACTGTGCAGCTTTTGTGATAGTTTTTAATCTTTTAAAATATATATTATATATTTTAAAATAAAATAGCATTAGCCTTAGAAAGAGGAAAGAAGGGTAATGTCCGGAATTGCTCTAGATTGCTGAGTAATTGTTTATCACAAATAAGAGCTTCTGCACCTTTTATTTCAAATGGTTTTAGTGATTGAAAGGTTGGATGCATTCATTTATGTATTTCGGTGTATCCTTTAAAAAAGTGTTTGACAAAATCAGAGGGTTATAGGCTAAAACCTGTTATTAGCAGAAGGAAGCCTGAAAGAAAAGGGAGCTCAATGGTGTGGTTACAAAACCATTGCAAAGAAAGGAGGAAGCACTACATTTTATTGCGCAGAGTTGTTGCCTTTGCCTGTCCCGTGGAGAGAGGGAGGAACCCCGAAAAGCAGCTAACCCTTCTGGCCGCCACACGCAGGCAGCATCCGGGACTCAGGGTCTTCAGGTGCCGCGCTGACTCGAACCCTCTTTCTGTGTTGGCAAAGCACCGGAAATCCAAGGTGCGTGAGGCACTGACACCCTGCGCTGGAAATCTTCCTCCGTGGGCTGGGCCAGCACGCAGGGGAAATCAGAGTCCACGGGCCCCGTCTGCTCCGTGGTGGCGGCTCCGCGACGGCCCTTCAGACAGGCGTCCAGCACCTCCTCCAGGCAGTTGCAGAGGACCCATCTGGGGCACAGCGTGAAATGGGGGGTGCAGCACAAAGCAGAGCCCCCTGTTTGGGACAGACCTGGCCTGGTGCATTGCAACAGCCACCCGGGATTGCGTGCCCGCCTGCAGTAGAGAGAAGGAGGGAGCACGATGCTGGGGGATGAATGTGGTGGAGGTTCAGGGAACAGCAACAGTTCATCTCTGTGCAGAGCCCATCCAGGCAGATGGAGAGGGATCACTTTGCCTCCTAGCGGGACATGGCTACCTCTGGGGTGGATCACAGCAGCTACTTCACAGAGCACAGCAACGCCATGCAGCAGTTTACAGCAGGTAGTGAAAAATAACCACAGAAACTGCAGGGAAAAGTTTTGAATGCTAGAACTTAATTATCCAAGTTGCAGTTTAGATACTCACCTAAGGGTCCTACTCTTGCAAGAAGTGCCAAGGGATGTTAATGTTGCTAATGCCATATTGTAGGTGTAAAAGCTGTAACACTCTGTGTAAGCTCTTTCTAAGCTCTCCCCACTGGTGTGCAGCTGTTTCGGGTTGCACCATGGCACATGAAACACATGGCACCCATGAGGGCATGTGCTGAGCAGCATGTGTCACCTGGAGTGAACTGGGGATCACGTCACTGGAAAACGCTGGCGCGGAGGGAAGGTCAGGCCTGGGCTGAGTGTGAAAGTGCGACATTTAGTGCCCTGGCCAGTCTCTCCCGGCTGCCCGGACCTGCCAGGACCCTCGAGCAGAACCGTGTTAGCGACTTGCACGTCTGCGTGGCATTCGCCTCTTGACACGTCCCAGCAAGACGTCGTTCTCGTATTAATGGATTGTATTGTAAAACTGCAGCACCAAGGGAGCCAGTCCATTAGATTGAGTCATGAAGAAAGCAGGTCTGGGGAATTCCTTTTAGCTGCCGGCACAGATGAGAAATATCATTGCTGGAGAGACGTGAAAAATAAAGGCATTAAAAAGGAGCCATGAGCCAGGGTGGAACGTGTGGCTCCGACTCCTGCATCACTTCCGTCCAAAGCGCAGCAGGCTTCGAAGTGCTCAGCAGGTGCCCGGGGGCCAAGGAGCAGCCCGAGGAGCGCGTGGCCGCCCACCTGCCAGGAAGGTGTGGGATGTGCACAGCTTCGTTAACAGAAGAGCGCGAGTGGCCCTGCACAGAGCTCCTTGCCTGCCTCCAGTCGTCAGGTCTCTCTTCCAGCTGGGCAGGAGCTGCCTGCGTTGTCGGGGCAGACCAGACAGAGGAGAAAAAATCCCTGGAAAGTTCCCTGGCATTTAAAGACGTTGCATGGTCTTGACACGTGAGCCAGGGGCTGCGAGCGTGGCGAGGCCGTTTTGAGGGTTCATCAGGGATGCTGAGACCGGGCTGGGCTTGGGGATGTTTTAAGCTGCATGTTGAGCCAAGGGGCGAAAGCGCCATTTCCAGTAGCCGGGTCCCAGGGCCCTTCTCCTCCCGCTCAGTTCCTGCACCGCTCGGAGCCGGGTCCAGACCGAGCGTCTCGCCCTGCACCTGTTCCTGTGCCCTGCTGCACGTCTGTGTAAAAGTATACACTGTTATTTGTGTCCGGACAGCGCAGCCATATTAATGAACACAATATAATCATTCGGTGTATTGACTTTTGATTCTCTGGCTGTATTTTAAAGATATTTTAAAGGCTTTGCTGGAGTTTGCATGAGCTTCGGAAATTAAATTTAGGCTGTGATTTTATTACCCTTTTTATTTAATTTATCTTAACTGTTGCTTTCAAGCTGCGAACCAGCTGTTGACTTTGAAAAAACATTGTTCAATTTGAAAGGAGCATTTTAAAGCTTAATGTAATGGCTGTAAGTAATCACTACAGCAATTATATTCTCTGGTGTTGTGCGTCACTATAATAATATTGGAGTTGAGAGAAAATGCAGAGCGTTCGGGGAAGAAATGCATAAAATCCTGACTCCTCACCCTTGCCGCAGGCCCAGCACGTGCCCCCCGACCCTGCTTCCTCCCCAGGCCCTGGCAAAATGCCCTCTGCTCTCCTCCCCTCTCCCCCCAGGGCTGCTTCTAGCTGCCTCCCTGCGCCAAGAGCTTCGTGCCGCTTCGGCCCCTCTGGTGCATGCCCACGCTGCCCCGCATTGCGCCTTGCTCTCGTGCTGCCGGCTGGTGGAGCCGGCCGCTTGGCCGATGCTCGCAGCGGGACCCCAGCGCCACTCCCTCCTTCTTGGGGTCTCGGGGAGAGCATGGTCCTGAGCCCAGCCGGCGCTCTCCCACCCTGGCAGGACATCCCGCTCGTGGGACCCCTCATGCCTGGGGGATGCTCGCTGGCCCTCCGCCCTCCCCGTGTGGTCCCACGTCCTTCAGACCTGACCGGGACCGTGGAGGTTCTTGTCTTCATCTGGGCAACTGCAGCACCAGAGCCGCGGGCCTGGGTGAGATGCGGAGCTCACTGCATCGGGCTTGCAGAATCAGGACAGAGCTGAGCGCCCCGCAGCCTGACGCCCAGCACCGCTGTGCTCTAGACCTGAGTAACCAGCTGGAGACGGCTACGGAAATGGCTCGGGGCTCGAGACACTCCTCTGCTTCGAGAAGGAACCTCCTCGGTGGCTCGTGAGCTGTTGCCTGGGCCGCCTGTGCAGCTGCCCTGGGGAAAAGCCGTCCTCGTTGCAGCGGCCGAGGAACGAGGCGCAGCCCGGGCTCCTGATCTGCTCTGTCTGCAAATAACGTGGAGGTGCCACGCAGCTTCCCCTGCTCTCCTCTGTCCGGGAATCTCTCTCTGTAACGGTTTAAACCGAGGTCCCGGGTTAATATTCGCCTTGTGCTGGGAACGGGCTGCGTTTCACAGTGAGTAATCTGGGGCATGCTTTAGACTCAGCTTGTGTTTTGAAACCATACTGTGCTCTATGAAGACAGCCTGACAAATTGCACAGCCGTGTGCTGCTGGCCTCCTGCCCTCCTTCCCCAGGGTGCTCTGGGCAGCCGGCTCAGGCCATATATTGCGCTAGTTCATCGGTTCCACTAATGGCTGCTTGAAGTAATAACGCAGCTGGGGGAAGCTTCGTGCAAGCTCGGATGCAGCAGTGCTCTCACCCTTCCCCTGAAATTGCTTTGTGGCAAGGTATCGTGCTTTGGATGCCGCTGGCTGGGGCTGAGCCTTGTTGTGGGCAGAAGGATCGGGCTGCAGGATTTCTGCCTGGCAGGATGTCGGCTCCTGACAGGGAGGAAAGGGACCAGCATGGGGCTTGGAGAGAGGCAGGAGGCCACAGGCACTCCCAGCAGTGACGGTGACCTTGCTTAGGGGAGGGAAGGAAGACGTGTGCGTTAGCAGTGGTGCTGGTACTGGCGCTCGTGGACAGTAGTCATGGGCATGGGATTGGGCTGCTTACTACCCCCATCCCAACACACACACAGCCGTGTGCATTCAGTGAGACGAGCTAATGAGCTTCAGGTAGATCGGCAGGAGAGGCAGCGAACAAGAGTGAGTGAGTGGACATGAAGCAGGTTCTTCCCTTGGCAGTGAGCAGTCCCAAGAGGCTTCAAGGTGCCGCGGGAAAGCACATGCCAGAGCCCAGCTCTCTGCAGACGCCAGGCTCGCTCCAGATCTGAGCACACGACGAACCTGCAAGTGACGGCAGGGCTGGCACACAGGGACCCAAGCCGGCTCCGCATCGCTGTGGCAAAGGCAACGTGACTGGTGCATTACATGTATCTGAAAAACAAAGAAGCAGGAAGAAAGGCAATGCGGGGACGGAGGGGGAAAGGGAACAGCGTGTTCTGCAAAGTTAAAAGCTCAGTCTGCGTCCCAGGGTATTTTTAATGTAGCAGAGAGCAATTCCTCTGGGTGTAGCAAATGAGACGCATAAAATGTAATGCCCTATGAAATCACAAAAAAGGCGTTTTCAACAGACGGAAAAAACAACTTCAATACAAAAATAAAAATCGATAGACTATGCCTTCGGTAATCCACATGCCGGTAGCACTTCAACAGTATCCATTACTGTCGGTAAAGTATATTTCAGTTGTTAAATGCTCTGGCTGATCTGTCATCATCTGGAATTTAAAATGATGCCGCGTCCTACGCTCTTCCAGCTTCTTCTCCATCAGGAATTAAGCAACATGTATGACAAATGGCTCTTGATCGACCTGGAGGCTCCTAATCCCTGGTGCTCCCGGCCCGGTGACGTGCAGAAAGAAGGGCCATTAGCATTCAGTGGTGCTGGGCTTGGATCTCTCCCCAGCCCTCCAGCCACTAGCCAGGGATGCAAGGAGCCCGTCGGACACGTTCTGTTCAGTGGAGAGCCGTGCGGCTCATTTGTGCGGCTTGGAGCAGGTTGCGGCGCCTCATCACGCAGGAGGTTGTCCTTTCCTACTGGCAGCACTAGCATTCGGGGAGAGATTTTCCATGTTGCACAGTCCTCAGTGCCGTTCAGCTGGGAAACCGTGGTGAGAGCAAAGTGTGGACAGCGCTGGCTCTTTGCAAAGGGGATACGTCCACAGCGTGGTTGCAACTGTGCCTGTAGGCTCCTGCAGACCCACCGGACCCGGCTAGCTCAGGGGCTCCCACGAGAGCCGCTCCAGCGGCGTAAGCTCCGTGCAGCTGCAAAGCCCGCGTGAGACGCTGGGTCGGTCCGTAGGAAGGAGCCCGCGTGGTGCTCCCACGTGGCTGCAGCTGGAAAGCAGCCCCTCTCTCCACTTCTGCCCTGGGCTGCCTCAGGGCCTCGTCCAGGGCCCCTTTCACTTCCATGATTTCTTCCTTGTGGCCATCTTCATGAGGCTTCTTGAGCCACATCTCCCACCTCAGGTGCTCTGGGCCCGCCGTCTGTCTGCGTGCCTTGCCCACGCTCTCCTGGGCCTGGTGCCATGCCTCCGGTCCCTGCGTGTGTGACGCGTGGCATTGCCTGCAGCACCCGGCTACCTGACGCTCCCCCGTCGCAAGCTGGGCTTCTGTCGTGTGTCTGTTTTCTTGGTCCCATCCCTGCCCCTTCGCACATGCCTGAAACTGCTGCTCTCTGCTCTTTTTAGTGTCTAGGCACTC